TAATCGACTATTTGGACCCTACCTTTTGCCTGCAAGGTTAAATGCTGCGACCTTCTTGAATTTTTAGAGGCTGAACATGCAAATATGTGGAATGATGTTATGTTAGATTTAAGAAGATTGGCCCTGGTTCCAGCTTGATGGTTGTCCAGCTCATTATTCGAGAATAGTTAGAAACTGGCTGGACGAAAATTATCCAGAAAGATGGGTCGGCCGTGAGGACCAGTCGCCTGCCTCCACGATCCCCTGACCTAGATCCATTAGATTTCTTGTGTGGGGATTTTCTAAAAGAAAAAGTGTACCAGACTCCCGTAACCAACAAGAGATATGCTAATAGACAGAATGAGGAATGCATGTGATGAAATAAGGCCTATTTGATAATGCTATACCCGTTCGATCATGCGTAGATGTGAATGTGTATTGAACAATTGGGTTTACATTTCGAGCAACTACTTTAGATTTTGCATCTTTGTCCTAACTATCCAATAGCATTTTAGTTGTAAATAATTAATTTAATTTGTTAAAATAATATTTGAAAATTAAACAAATTAATATTCTGTTTTTTGTGTTTATTTGGAGTTAGCAATTATTGCTGTGTTTAAAACACAATCTAACGATCATCTTAATTACTTGTAATGCCCAAATCGAAAATGTAAAAAAAAAATATTATTTTCCCATAAATAATTAAAAATGCATCGAGCCTTAAAAATAGAAATATCTCAAAAACGGCTAACTACAACGAAAACTCACAGGAGAGCTTTTTTATTTTGAAAAGTGCGAAGAATCAGTTTTTTTATTCAAAAAGCAAAAAGTTGCACTAAGAAAAAAATTTTCGCTCATTTTAATACACTACAGGTACAGTAGAGAGCGCCCTCTAGCGGCTACAGTAAAACTATGGTTCGTTTTGTCGTACCAAAAAACTCTTGTATACCAATTTTTACTGTTATACATCAAATATTGTTCGAAATATTAAAAAAAAAACTATTTTAGAAAATTTATTTCCTAAGCCACGCATTTTTCGACCCATGTTTATATAGACTTTATGCATTAATTTTAAAAGTTCTAACGAATCTTAAAGTTATGCAACAGTAAACTGAAACACCCTGTATAAAGAAAAACGAGGATAGAGGTTATCTAACACACCGTGAAGTTTTTGATCGGTTTTCTTTAATAATCTATTGCGACGTATACATTTTAGAAAAACTGATTTTTTCTAAGCATGCAATTACTGTGTTTTGTAATCTGACAGCCGAACTGCTTGTAAAACACTAATCTGATGTTCCTCTAAAGACTCTTTTTCGAGACGTGACCCTTCTATGTACCCAGAACCGGAACAACTATTTATAGGTCATCTCATTGCTTTAACAGAGGAAGTCTATACACAAACGCATACCAATCAGAATATCGATCTGATTTGCATACCGCCCATCGCTATTACGGAGATCCCGTACGTCGAACTGAGAACTTCATCATCCCTATATCCAGGAGTTCACCATTGCAGCCCTTTGTTATTTCCCACAGGACCGATAAACTTCAGTCTCTGGATGTCGGCCGCCCCGCCGTCATTTCTAAACCGCATCGGATGTACTGGGAAATATCCCGGATATTTTTATAAACTCTCTTCGGGCTTGTCGGGGGTATCGGAGTCAAGGACAGGTGGGTGTAGGGGTAGCACTTGAAAATACAGATTATATGCGTAACAAAGTAAACGCGAAAACGTTGGAAATTCGGCAAACGACGTCAAGAAGGTTGACTACGCGGTTCCTAAGCAACGCTGTCGTCAATTTATAATGGATTGTAATCGGTGCAAGTTAGTCCCTCTTGTAACATGTAGAACCAGGGAATTAAATAATAATAATAATAATAATAATAATAATAAATGCCTTTATTTCCAAACAGTTCTCAAAAAAAAAAATCAGATGGAGAAACATGAGTATTAACCAAAAAAAAAAGGAAAATAAAAAATAAATAAATAAAACAAATGTCGACTGTCTGAAAATAGAAATGGGGAGTTCACTATCTAGTGCTCTTCCACTCATCCCTTGAAATTCTAAGAAACACTATGCCAGTAAACATACTAAGTGACATATAAATCTGAACACCCAGTTTAAATGGTTTTATTTTAATAAAAGTTGGTGAATGTATTTATCTTACTGTAAATAACAAGTGAAAAATTTTCAGCCTTATCAGTTGGACATTCCGGTTTTTATACTGCTTTTTTTAATTCACTAACGCTCTAAAAATGAATATTTCAGCCGCAGTAAGAATCAACGTTGGCGGATTTGGTTCTTGACATCCTTTTACGATCGGTTACGATGCCTAGAGTACGGAGACCTGTACGATTTCGTCAACTTAGTGAGTTTGATAGGGCCGTATAGTGGGACTTCGGGAAGCTGGACTTTTTTTTCGGGCAATTGCAGTTAGAGTGCAAAGAAGTGTAGACAACTGTGGTTAGGTGTTGTCAGGCATGGCTTCGAGAAGGCCGTACGCAAAGAGCAAGGGGCACTGGACGCCGCCGTAGAACAACAGACCGTGAAGATCGCCGCCTAAGATTATTGGCCTTAAGGACCGTTTCTCCACTACCAGGTCCATTGCAAATGAATGGTTTGCAGAACACGGAAGACCTATTGGCATGCGAAGTGTTCACCGACGAATGAGAAGTTTTGGCTTGTTTTCATACCGGCCACACTGGGTCCTCCCTTTAACTCGAGAACACCGACGTAATCGCCTTGAGTGGTGCAGACAACGGTCACTCTGGGATCAGGAATGGAACAGTATTGTCTTTAGTGACGAGTCTCGATTTTATTTAGGCATGCACGATGGTCGTGCCAGGGTTAGAAGGCGACGTGGTGAAAGGAGGAATCCACAGTTTTTTGTTGAAAGACATGTTCATCACACTGTTGGAGTTAAGGTTTGGGGTGCTATAACTTATGGTTCCAGGTCACCTTTAATCTTCGTCAGAGGTAACATGAATGCGCAGCGTTATATCCTCTTTTACCCTATCTTGACACCCTGGCAGATGTAACTTTCCCACAAGATAATGCCCGACCACATGTTGCAAGAGTCACAATAGACTTCTTTCAACATAATGATGTCACATTGTTACCATGGCCACCAAGATCTCCCGACTTATCCCCAATTGAGCACGTGTGGGATATGATGGGTAGGAGATTGCTCAATTTGCAACGTCCTCCTCAGAAGCACTTCGCGAGGAGTTGGTGGTTGCCTGGAATGAGAAACCACAGGAGGACATTGACCACCTGATCAGAAGCATGCCTAGGCGCGTTGGAGAATGCGTAGCACATCAGGGTGCATCCACACATTATTAAAGGTCAAAGGGCTTTAAAGCAGTGCAATCATTTTGAAATTTTTATCATTTACTTATCATGATTCATTAAGTACTTATACAAAATTTTATTAAAATAAAACCATTTAAACTGGGTGTTCGGATTTATATGTCACTTAGTATACATCCATCAAGCATATACAAACATCAATATGAACAGCATGTAAGTTTTTTAAAATTAAGATAGAAAAGTGAGAAATATGGTAATAAATTAAAAAAAAGAAAGTCTAGAATAATATATAGATATGTATATATACCCATACATACCGCATAAACAAACGCCAATATGAGCGACAATTAAGTTTAAAAAAAAAGAGCAAGAGATGATACAATCAGTCCATAGACCAAAAATGCGATCCAGCCTACCGCACGACAAAAATTACTGACCATCCAAGGTGAGGTTATACAGGGTGGGCATTAATATGAGCGGATTTTAAAAAATCATAGAAAAAACTACAAAGTGTAGGGAAGGTAATTTATATTTTTTTAAGTAGACACATGGAAATTTAATTTTTTCAAAATAACATCACTGAGATGTGTGTCATCCAGTCAAGGTATCCTCAGTGGCGTGAGATCCGGGCTTCGGAGGCCACGGAATGTCCCCTTGTCTGAAAATTATTTTAATAAATTATTTTTTTCCTTTTTTTATTATATAAATAGGTGTATACGAGGGATGGCTTTTAAGTTTTGCATATAGAAGCATAGTAGGCCGCGTGGATCTAGCGTCAGTACTGAATCTTAACCTCACTCTTTAGTCAACTTAAATTCAAAGTTTCACAACAATACGTGCAGTGTTCTCACTACAGTGAAGTGCCACCAAGTCATTAGAGAAATGGAACTCAACCGAGAACACTTTCGCGTCATAATTTATTTCAACTTTCAGAGACAATTATCGCAACAAGAATGCCTTGCTGAGTTACTGTCTGTTTTTAGCAACGAAGCGCCGTGAACGGGTGAGTCTTAGCGACGATTCCTGGGTGGGTGCACCAAAAACGGCAGTCACCCAGGACATATCGCGAGATTGAGGCATCCTTGAAGATCTCAAACATGGAGAATTAGGAGTAAGAACATTAGTTTCTCGATGGATACCCCACCTGTTGTCTGAAGAGCAGAAATCAGCCAGGGTTAATTGGTGTCAAAAAACGCTTGACCGTTTCAATTCCGGAAACTCAAAAAATGTGTGCAGCATTGTTAGTGGCGATGAATCGTGGATTTACTGTCATCAACCAGAAAATAAACGACAAAAGTCATCCGTTGTCGAAGTGTTTCGAAAAAGATGGTCATGACATTTATGTCGGATTGCGGATTGGTATACCAACATTTGTTTGCCAAAAGTCATCACCGAGCTTCGAAAAATCATCCTCCACCAAGGCAATGCAAGCTCGCACACAGCCCAAAAAACAAGGCAGTATTTAACAGAACAAAACGTGCAATTATTGGACCATCCTCCACATAGTCCCGATTTGAGTCCTAACGATTTCTTTACTTTCCCGAAAATGAAAAACAGACTGCGTGGTCAAAGGTTCCAGTCACCAGAAGAAGCAGTTGTTGCATTCAAAAATGATGTTTTGGATCTGCCAGCAAACGAGTGGATGCAGTTGTGTATTAATCTTCGTGGAGAATACTTCGAAAAACAATGAAGTCATTTCAAACTACCTACCGTGTTGTTTTATTTCCATATGCAAAACTTAAAAGACATCCCTCGTACCTCGGAGTAGTACTGTGTTTAGTTTTTTGTTAGCTCAAATTTTTCTACTGATACTGTGTTTATTTTAAAACATAATTCAATAAAATCAACTATAGTATGTTTTTAATTTTATTAAATAATTCAAAATCCCAGTCACAGACCGACATTTATTTTCCTGTTTTTCTACTTATGCTGTAGATGCAAAATGCGAACTGTCAGTTTTAATGCTTCTTCTTATATGAAATATTCTGTTTTTTGTTAAAATAAGCGGGTTGAGGTAAAGGGACTATCGACAAAAGGAGCTGTGTGAAAGGAAGAAAATCAATATTTCTGAAAAATGTACGAAATACCAATTTAGAGATGTAATATACCAGAAATATCTCTGGAAAACTAATGTGTTGTGGGGGATGTTAACTTGTTTTATTCTGTTTCCCCTCCTGTCACCATGTCATTTTCAACTCCTGCCGTACTTATGGCCTTTGAGTCCCATGCCTTCAAAAGCGCCACACATGTTTTTTTACACTGAAGTGTGGACAGATACCTAAAGACCGGGGTACCACTAACAAGCACCTTGTGTGAACTCTCTAAGATTTGCGGACCTATCATATAACTGAAAAAAAAACATTATCAGGCAGACACACACACACAATCTCGACACCCTAGGAGCGAAGGAGCGGTCGGATCGGCCAGTTCTCGATGGGCAAAGTTTGACATAGTTGGTATGGGAGGTAGAAACTTGACGGGTCCGCTTAGCAGGCTTAACGCGCGGCGGAAGAGAACTAGATCGCAAAAGGTTTTTGAGACTGATGTTATTTATCCTCGTTATTGCTTGTATTATAATTACCTGTATTTTCCAATGGACGTATAAGCCAATAGGCGAATATTAATAGACCAGGATATCTAGAATTCGACAGAAAAAAATCAATAAGCTGCCCTATAACGGAATTGAACTCTTGAAGTTAATGTCAAAGTGAGTATTTTCAGAACAGAACTATCATAATTTCTTCGTGAAAGGCACCCCTGCACCACGTCCAAAATTCAATTTGGAATATTATGGCATTTTCCAGTACTCTATTAAAAAGTCCATTAACCCTTCCGTGTTAATCGAAAAGAACCTCTTGCCTCCTATAATTAGATTTTGTCGTTGAATGATCTTCGTAAAGATTGAATTAGCCCTTTCACCCTTACAAGTAATAAATATTAAATTTCATCAGCACTTACAAGGGTTATGTTGGAAAAAATCATGAATATATTTCAGCATGCTTGAGAGCTACGAGTTTTAAAAGCATGCTTTAAATATAGTCATTATGTTGTCAGAAAAAAAGAAGAAGAAAAGAAATTAGTTTTTCTGGGTGTAACAATCCCAATGTCACTGATTATAGGGTTGTCCAATAGGGACGCAGGAAAGTAAACAACAATTTGACATAGACGCCATCTTTGTTTTCTGTCACCGACATGTCATTTTGTTCGTTGAATGTTTACCAGTGATCGCTATGGAGTCGTATTCGATTGAAGACCGCATTAAAGTTATTCAAGAGCACTACTAATATGGTGCAAAAATAAAAAACACGTTTCGCGCGCTTCGTGAACATTTCGGTCGCAACAACCGCCCAAACGAAACAACCATCGGTCGTCTGGCGCGTAAATTCGAAGCAACAGGTTCTGTGGCAAATCTGCCAGGCTCTGGCCGGCCAAGGAGCGTTCGCACACCGGAAAATATTGCTGTTGTGAAGGAGAGTGTGAGAAACGATCCGAAATAATCAACAACGCGTCGATCCCAAGAATTGGGCATTTCGAGAACCAGTTTGCTCCACATTCTCCACAAGGATTTGAATGTACACGCCTACAAGATCCAATTGACGCAAGAGCTGCGTCGAACCGACCATTTTTCGTGCCGAACGTTCTCAGATTGGCTCCTTGAACACCGCCAAATTGATGCCAATTTTTCATCAAAAATCATGTTCAGCGACGAAGCGCATTTCACTTTCAATGGGACGGTAAACAAGCAAAACTGCCGCATCTGGGCGAACGAAAATCCCCGTGAGTATCAAGAGCAGCCGATGCATCCTCAAAAAGTGACTGTGTGGTGTGCATTGTGGTCAAAAAGCATCATCGGACCTTACTTTTTCGAAAATGCGTTCGGGGACGCCGTTACCGTCAATTCTGAGCGATATCACGTGATGATAGAGGACTATGTTTTGCCGCAGCTTGAAGGAATGGATATGGACGATGTTTATTTACAACAAGACGGTGCAACATGCCACACAACCAACGTCAATATCCATCGATTGCAGTCCTTCTTCGGTGATCGCGTGATTTCGCGCAGAGGAAATGTGCCATGGCCACCAAGATCGTGCGATTTGACTCCCTTGGACTTCTTTTTATGGGGATATTTGAAAAGCAAAGTCTACGTCAACAAACCAGCCACCCTCCAAGAACTCAAAAACAACATCATTGCCGAGATAAATGCCATAGAACCGACCATGTTGCAAAATGTCATTGAAAATTTCGACCATCGCGTGGACGTCTGTAAATCCAGTCGTGGTGAACATTTGAGCGATATTATTTTTCATACATAAATGGTATGAATGAACCTTCAAGATAAAGTACCCAACTTGATTTGAATATCAATCTTTCTTGTTTTAATATGCGTTTACTTTCCTACACCTATATTAAATATGGGATGGATGTTAAAATTGATTACTGTAGTCTTACCTGAATTTAGGATTAGCCGATTTCTTTGAAAATTTATCCAAAATACGTTGAACTTTGGTGTGAGGATGATAGACATTTTTTGCAGTTATAGTAATTGTGCTTCCATCTGCAAACATAGTTACATGGCCCTCAGATATATGACTGGATAGATCACTTACATATAATTTCCGTGTCAGGCACTTTTCTCCTGAGATTGTGGTATGAGCGCCATTGGTTTAACCTCCAGATTCTGGGATATTAGGTGCCGAACACCAGCTTGTGGACTAGTACCCCCTCATATAGTACCTTACGTCTAGTTGTTTTAGTTTGGGTGCTACCCCGTCCATTTTCTAATGAGATTTTAATATTTATCGTAGGAAACATGGGGGAAATACCATACAATACTTCAGCTTTGCTTGTAGCTGGTTTGTAGCTGGGATTGCCGGAAGTCACCGTTTCCCCTTAGCAACAAATCCTGTTCAGATCATCTCTTGCCAGCCGCGATTAAACTGCTGTGCTTGTCCGAATATGCCATTTCTTGCAGTAATGATCAGAGAATAAACGCTGTGGCATCCATTCTAATTTCGCACGTCCTGTGGATTCCGGAGTATTGAATATCTGCATATTAATGCATCGTTGCCAAGTACAGGCTGAAGGGAGGACTTGACAGCACCCCTGAGGGTTGAGACGCCAGAATTGGAATTCCACTTTCAGTTAGAACCTATTGAAAATTCCAATAGAATCGTATTCAGCGAGGTATTAATTGAGAAACGTTGAATTCCTCTAGACGCTCATATATCAGAATTTCAGATTACCTTCAAAATATTGGTTTCTGGGGATGTTAAGGGCCGTATCGTCAGTCGTTTCTGCAATTGTAGAATGCCTTAAGAGCCCGCTTGATTCTCGTCCGTGTTAGTCCTCTATTTTGAGGTTATGTTACAAATACCTATTTGCACTAAATTGTGCATACTTTTGATTTATATAATCTGTTATGTAGCCTGAAATTTCCTACAGTTCAAGATGAAAACATAGCCTGACAATAGGAGAGCGCGAGGCCGTAAAGGCGTCCTACAATTGTATGAACGACTGACGATACGGCCCTAACATTTACAAACGTTAATTGAGAATTGAGTGCCGTTTGACAGAAGATAAGTAATCAATATTCTTGAGAAACATTCAAGAGGTGATTTAACTTTTGAATTAAAAAATTTAAAAAATCGACTCTCGTCACTTAATTTACAGACCTCGTCCATATCATATAACATCCAAAAATATAATATGTCGTTTATGAAATTTTTCGCAATTACAATGCTCCGTCGCCCGCAGTTGTGGGAGCAAAAGTGCACTAAAGACAGGTTTGATTGCTGGGATCATAAAAGTCGGTATGTAAGGTACGTCAATTCAATTTAAGTACCGTTAAATTTGTTATGGCATTATACTACCGCTTTTATTTATCTTGGAGATAGAATAAGACGAGAGTATAAAGGTGGTTCCAAGATGATTCCCAGATTTTGATGGGTATTTTATGAGTAATTTGGCTGTAATAGCTTTAGTCTCAATCTACAAAGTGATATAGGACTTCTTTGACAAATATCGAAACATTCTGACGCTGTATGTAAGAAACATTACTTTTAGCAAAGAAGAAAAGGGTCCAGTTTAATTACCGTAGGTAATAATACTAAAGAAATGTCTTGGATGGAATAGTACGAGGTATTTGTAAAGTAAAATACTTGTAAAAATAATTGTCAAAGGCGCACTGTCAGCGAGAAGTAATTTGATGTAAGTTTAAAATAGTAGTAAGTAGTTGTATGTGCTACGCCACTGGCAAAATGGGTTTCGACCATCTCCCGCAGGAGCGCGCCACCATCCAGCGCGCAGCCTACCACTGCCGACCGGAAGACCGTTGAATTTTGAACGGTCCAATGGGATGCCTTCCTCTCGGAGCGACTAGGAGAGAGGCCGGAAGAAGCTACCATTTTTTGACTATAACCAGAAAATATGTTCGGTATAGACAATTTTTCAATTACGACAGTTTCTCATGAAATGTACATACAATACATTGAACAAAAACATAAATGTAATCAATAAAAATACAGTCCACTATACACAACAGTAGTAGTAACCGAGTTAAATATCTTCGAACGACTATCGTGTGTTGATCTATTTTATGATGCATTTGCATATATATACAGGGTGACTTTGAAGTTGAGTCATTAATTTTCAGATAATGATTGTAGAAGGAAGATAAACCAAAATATGTGTGTAAAAATAAAAAAAAAAATAAAAAAAAAATGTTACCTTGTTTTATAAAGTATCCTCCCGACAAGTATTTCAGTGCGGACCTGTATTTGATCGTGCGGTCTTGAAGCACTGGCATGCCCTCCCCTGTGAGGTCTTAAGTCACCTGATTCACGAGCCCTTTGTACTATATTAACAAAGGCACGAGGGGTTGGTTGCACTCGATTGGGGAACCGATTCGCACTAATCCGTGATGCCGCGGCAGCATTTTGTAAAGACTCCCCCCCCCCGTAAATAAGAATCATGTCCACAAGTTCAGCATTTTCGTAAACATGTGCCATTTTTTATTTCGTTTGAGCCACGCAACAAACACCACTATTCACTCACGCGTTACCGACTGACGAAAACATCGTGATAAACGTTTTAAATTCTTTCGCTTTTTTGTTTCCGATTCGATGAACCGGTAAGGCGGATTATATCCGTTGTCGCCAAACACGAGGACATAATATTATTATTGAGACAGGGCGGTACTCAAACTTTTAAAGGGCTATAACTTTGTTAATTTAATTTTACCAGAAAAATGTTAAAGGAAAAAAACATTTCTTTTGATCAGATCTAATATATACTATATATATACTATATACTATACTACTATATATATATATGTATATATACAGGGTGACTTCGAAGTTGAGTCATTTATTTTAACAGTGAGTAGATCTGATCAAAAGAAATGTTTTTTTCCTTTACCATTTTCTGGTAAAATTAAAGTAACAAAGTTATAGCCCTTTGGAAGTTTGAGTACCGCCCTGTCTCAATAATAATATTATGTGCTCGTGTTTGGCAACAACGGATATAATCCGCCTTATCGGTTCATCGCATCGGAAACAAAAAAGCGAAAGAATTTGGAACGATGTTTTTATAATTATTTTATTCAGTTGTATACAGTCAGTGTCAGTCGGTAACGCGTGAGTGAATAGTGGTGTCTGTTGCGTGGCTCAAACGAAATCAAAAATGGCACATGTTTACGAAAATGCTGAACTTGTGGACATGATTCTTATTTACCCAATCGAGTGCAACCAACCCCTCGTGCCTTTGTTAATGTAGTACAAAGGGCTCGTGAATCAGGTGACTTAAGACCTCACAGGGGAGGGCATGCCGGTGCTCCAAGACCGCACGATCAAATACAGGTCCGCACTGAAATACTTGTCGGGAGGATACTTTATAAAACAAGGTAACATTTTTATTTTTTATTTTTACACACATATTTTGGTTTATCTTCCTTCTACAATCATTATCTGAAAATTAATGACTCAACTTCAAAGTCACCCTGTATATATATATACACGAGTAGTAGTCATTGCCATTGCCAGCGATCAGTTGGGCAAAAAATACAATTAAATTGTTTATCGGGAATTGGTAAATCTTAAAGCGTACTGAACTCTTTTGACTGAAATCTCGAGCTTTCGACAAACTTTGTTGTCATCTTCAGAAGCTAAAGCACAAATATGAAAATAGCAACCAATTTAGAACAGATTTACATTTTCAAATTACTTACTCGTCGATGAGGTTGCTGCTAAGTGGTGTTTCAGAACGAAAGCGTGGATGAGAACACCTGTTACAGTTATAAAACCAAAAGACCGGATACAAGTTATTAAAAACTAACACTACATTATGGGGACAGAATGGTGCGCTTAAATAAAAAAACTTCAGTTCCGCACATGGCTCAGTTAGTCGATTTGTTTACTTATCTCGTATGACATTTTAGCATTATCACCTCTAGTTCAGACTTGAATCACAAGATGGCCTATCCTGTATACGCCACGATACGTATAGTCAACTTACAACCAACTGACGTTCAAGGCTTTTGAAATTAATCCGCGATTTTAGCTTTAGCTTGTTATCATGTCACCTCGTAGTTCTATCTATACAGAGCCTGCATTGTACACAGTATTTTCTCGCCGTTCTAAAGTGTCGGAAGCCTTGAGGCTCAGTCTCAAAATAACGTCGAGTGTTTGTGCGAAGCAAGGCAACTCGTATCAGCTTGCAGCCTCGTTAAAAGCAAAACAGTGTAAAATCGCTTCTGTCGACACCCTTCCAGCGTACCAGGATATTATTTCATTGCTTCGAAAAGTTGAACCAATAATGTAGCGCACTGCGCATTTGTTTGACATACGTGACTCGAGAGTGTAGTGTTATTCTATTTAGTCCAGGAAGTATCTTTGCATCCGATCGAATAAATACTTCAATTAGGGTCGATTTCACCAACATTAATATTATGGACCAATGGGAAAATACCCTATCGAAATGCAATTTGACAGAAGCTGTCGAAGGTCTCAGAATATCAGTGATTTCTATTAAAATATTGAATAAAAAAAATTAGACTGTATTATAGACAAGACCACTTTTTGATTCCAACATGATGCGTTTGTACACAGGAAACAAGTCAACTTTCAGGTATTTTGATTTGTGTTATAAATTGATACCTCACAAAATTCAAAATTTTAAGTGAAAATCAATATGGATTTACAGAAGGGAAGGCTACATCGGACGCAATTACTAAAATTGTAAATCAAATACATCAAAATATTGATAACAGAATCCCTTCAATCTGCATTTTTGTTGATTTAAAGAAAGCTTGCGACACAGTTAATCACAAATTATTATTAGAAGCATTGGAGAGAATTGGTTTCAGAGGAAACGCGTACTCACTGATCGAAAGTTATTTGTCAAATCGCCCACAATCTGTGCAGATATCACGATCATTTAGTAAAGAAATGTATATTAAGTGTGGTGTCCCACAAGGAACTGTCTTAGGTCCGCTGTTATTCAATATATATTTAAATGATATTTTCCAAATTAATTGTGTTGGCAAAATAACTAGTTTTGCAGATGATACTGCAATATTATATGAAGGCACTGACTGGTCTGATCTGAAAAATGTAATTCAAAATGATTTTATCAAAATTATTCGGTGGTTTAACAGTAGAAAATTAAGCATTAACCACTCTAAAACACATTTTTTACCATTTGGATCTTATGCTAGACATCTGCCAAATTACACAAATTTCTCCTTCAATATCAATGATCAAAAAATGCAAATTAATAGAGTGCCCAACATAAAATACCTTGGAGTGGTCTTGGATCCTCACTTACGATGGGACATCCATGTCAATTATATTTTAAAGAAAGTTAGATTTGTATCCTACAAAATTAAATACCTTGGGAATATATCGACAGAAAAATATCTTCGAACATTATACCATGCACTGATTGAGCCTCATCTCACATATGGTATATTAGCATGGGGAGCTGCATGTTCCTCACATATCTATAATTTAGATGTTTTTCAAAAAAGTATTCTAAAAATGATATTTAAAAACCGAAACTTTATCCCACTGAAAAATTATACGCAGATGTTCGAATGTATGATATAAGACAGCTTTATTTCTTACACAGTATCACTCACTACCATAAATTTGTAAACACCGACCAAAAAATTAAACATAATCATTATACCAGGTACAAAATTCGTGGCACAGTAGTTCCTCAACCGCATAAATCTATAATGCAGCGATCATATCTGTATTTAGCGCCTAAATTTTATGAAATTATACCTAAAGACTTAAAAGATTTACGTTTCGGAAATTGTTTCAAAAGAAATTTAAAAAAGTGGCTACATTCTATATCTAGGACTGAAATTCATAAACTCATAAATACGAACATCAAGTAAATACATAATCTACTGTAGCTAATTTTTGTCCTTTTTTGTCATTTGCATTCTACAGTTTCAACTTAAATTTATTGGTCCATGTACAGGCGATGCCTTCTATTGGGCCTGTTTTGATTTTATATTTATTTACTCATATTTTTTGTTATCTTTGTACATTGAGTGAATAAAAAAAAAAATTACATTTAACAATCAGTTATCCCCAAAGCCAATGGGAATGCGGCAAATAATAGGTCGATTTTCTAGCTGTTAAATTTGGCAGTAGATTTGGACGTTTGTTAATGCATGGCACTCTTGAATTTACCAACTTCAATATACTGAAAGTTATCATTACATACCTGTTGAATAGTGTGGATTTGTCCGTATTTTGCAAGAAAATAGAATATAAAATTCATTCCATCCAATTCCTCATCTTCCTTTACATCATAATAGTAATCATTTATTAATTTACGGGTAAATGAGTTTCTTCAAAGCAATAAAAACATTGTCCTCTCCATCCTAAAACACAGATAATATGTGTAAGACGCGTCAATCCCTACATCTTCCTGATGCATAATGCAATTACTATGGACATAAACAAAAAATTATGAAAAATGTCCTACAAATAATGTCTTTTAAGTCCAAAAATCATAAAAACTATTAATGTTTTAATGTTAATTGTTTGATTAACGGAGAGATCTTGAGGATGATTGGGTATATTTGAGGGACTGTGTAGTACTCGTACCGTATTGGTGCAGAATAACGGTTATTTTGCATAACCGTATTCTCATGCATATTATGAATCCCGTAGTTGTAATAAGAATTGTTTAACCACTTTTTTCAATAGATTCCAAAATATTTAGAATTACAGAATGTTCCTTCAGGGTGACCACACCATCTTGTTCTTGATATATTCGATTTAGTCGTTAAAATTGATGTATCCATATTTTATGGACAACCTGTATACATGTCATAGCTGTACAATTATCATCGTTCCACATCAATACCTACAAGTAGCTTTAGTATGACAGACTGCGGTATAGCGAATGTCCAGTGTCATACAAACATCGAAATATTTACGTACGATAATTGGTTGATTGTTATTGGCACACAAATAGCCGCACCTAACGTTAAATTTAATTGACCAGAGTTCAATATTGTTTCGGTTCAATACATAGCAAAGGTAAAACTGTACAGTGCAAAATTTATGTGACATGCTCTGAATACAGAAGAAATGATTGGGGATGGCTGATGATTTAGTTTTGGGTATCCCCTGGGGAAGACTGACAAATGATCCAAGAGGCGTGATCAAGGCTGAAATACTTTTGGATACGTTAACTACCTGTTCTATCAGAATATAGAAGATTGAAAATTGAATAATAATGGAAATGCGCCTGGGATAGATAAGATAACAAGGATATATTGAAAAATATGGATGAAAATGGAATTAGAATACTACATACTCTCTTTATAAAAACGTATACTTTATCTGAAGTCACTTGAAACACTGTGAAATACCGGGTGCGTTTTATATATCTATATTTAACATGCTCTGCTGCTGCAAAAATCACCAAATTTCGCAGCAAATATCCCCCGTATAAGAGATAAAGGCAGTTTCACCGGTCCACGTGGAGTAAAGCACGCCTATGCGTGGACATAGCCAATGAGAAAGCGTGTATTTCAGAGCTCGGAACAAGTGCAGGTGGCTACTGAAAATTGAAACAGTTTAGCCAGTGCCGTGTAGCGGTGAATAAACGTCTTTTCTTTAGTCTGTCCGTGTTTTTTCATAGATTTTATTAGTTTGTGTGTTTTTGACTTTTGAATACTCAGTTTACTTGTTGATTTAATTGTTGTGTTGATTGTTCTTGTGTGTCCTAAATATGGCTCTTTGGAGACCTTGGGAAAATGCTCCAAGCCACGAGGAGACGGTTGATGAACCTGTGCAGGCAGAATTCTTTCATAAAGATTTAGAGGAACAGATCCAAACAGTAATCCTAAATATGTATGATTGTCTGAAAAACGAAAATCCAGATTCCTCGCAAATCAAATTTTAAACAGAATTTGTATCCTGACAAAAATCAGTCGGTCTACCATTTATCGGGTTGTGAAAAGGGGAGATGTCGTCAACCATTCCTTCCACAGAAAGCGCATAGGGCAAAAATTAAAAAGAATAGACGTGGGTTTTCAGGAAGATATTCATCGTATAATATACGGATTTTATAAAGAAAATTTGGTGCCCACGTTGGAAATGATACGGGATAAATTAAAAGATTATCCTGAAGATTTTTATAATTACAAATGCTTAGACTCACTGCACTGTATTGTAAAACTGTGTGGTTTTCAATACAAAAAATTAGATAAAAGAATGGTGATTATGGAGTCGTCTCGAATCGTTGAATTGCGCCAAGAATTTTTGCACAAAGTTAAAATCTATAGAGAGCAGAAAAGAAATCTGATTTACCTGGATGAAACGTGGTATGATACCCATGATGTTGTGCAGTACGGCTGGGTTGACGACAGCAACAAGTGCATTTTAAATGCACCATGCAACCGTGGAAAACGAATCATTATTCTCCATGCTGGCAGTGAAAATGGATTTATACCTAATGCCTTGCTGTTATCTGCCAAAAATATCAAAGAATCATGTGCCGACTATCATGAGGACATGACATCCGACTTATTTGAAAAGTGGATAGAGCAGCAGTTAATACCAAACATTTCCCCAAATTCAGTGATTATTATGGACAATGCGCCATACCATTCCCGACAGAAAAACAAAATTCCGAATACAGGCACAAAAAACAAGACATTATTGATTTTATGAAGGATAAGGGAATGGAAATACCACAAAAATCAACCAAAGCCATATTATTGGATCTTATTAAAAGACAAAAATTTGAAAAAGAGTATGTTGTTGACAATCTGCTTCAGCAAAATGGCCATGAAGTATTACGTCTACCTCCCTATTAATGCATTTTTAACCCGATTGAGTTGGTCTGGGCTGCTTTAAAAAAAAAGTAAGAAAACATAATCAGACCCCTCAATTAAGTGAATCGCTATTGGCCACAATAAGAGATGCAGTATCTCATATTGCTGCCACAGACCTATGGAAGCAGTGTTCTAGGCATATTATTGAAAAAGAAAATGAATATCGTGTTTTGCCTCCTGTAAATCTCTACAAGATGACTCTAGCGACAGCTTCGTAGGCGAGGATG